AAACCACGTTCCTACAGTGTTCCACCACCCCCTGCCCTGTCCCCCCCACCGAAACTGTGTCCCCACAATATCCCCCCCTCCCCTGCCGTGCCCCCCACTCTCTGCTGTGTCCCCCACGGCCCCAGTGTGCGCTCTGGACCCCCCCTCACCGTCATAGTTGACGCTCTCCAGCTGCGCCCGCAGCTCCTCCTCCTCCTCCTGGTGCTCCGGGGGGGTCCCCGATGTGCCCTGCGGCTCCGAGGGGGTCTCTGGGGGCTGCCGGGGCTCGGGGGCCGCCTCCAGGAGCTCCCCCAGGAGGGCGCGGGCACAGGCGGGGTGCCCCTCACGACAGGCGAGGTGCAGGGGCGTGTGCCCCCCCCGCTCCCGCACACAGAGCCCCGCACCCGCCGCCCGCAGCCGCCCCACGGCCCCCGCCAGCCCCAGCACCACCGCGATGTGCAGAGCGCTCTGGGGGCAGGGGGGGCACGGGGTGAGCCCAAACACACCCCAAATCCTCCCCAAACACACCCCCGCCAGCCCCAGCACCACCGCGATGTGCAGAGCGCTCTGGGGGCAGGGGGGGCACGGGGTGAACCCAAACACCCCCCCAAACACCCCTCAAAACCACCCCCAAACACCCCCTAAAATCCCCCCAAAGACATCTGAAACACTCCCAAACACCCCCAAAAATGCCCCCAGCCCCCCCTCCCGATGTGCAGAGCACTCTGCGGGCGGGGGGGCAGGGGGTGAGCCCAGGGGGGCCCAAACACCACCCCCCGAGTCCCCCATCGCAGCTCCACAGCCAAACCCACCTGGTGCTGCTGAGACTGGGGGGGCCTAAAACCTCCTGAAACACCCCCTGCGCCCCCTCCCCCAGCTCCCCCCCAAACACACCCCCGGAGAGCCTGGGGGGTCTCAAAGCTCCCCAACTCACCCCCAAACACCCCTTGAGCCCCCCTGCAGCCCCCCCACCTGCCCCAGGTCGTTCTGCAGGTCCAGGTACGGGGAGCGCTCCGTGTGCCGCAGGATGGACTCCAGGAATTCCTCGTGCTCGTGGATCACGGCCAAGTGCAGCGCCCTGGGGGGTAAGAAGGGCTTGGGGGGGGGGGCCCCGACACACCTCGACCCGCGGGGGGGGCCCCCCAAAAGGCAGGGATGGGGGGGACAGGGATTGAGGGAACCCCCGGGGGGGGGCAAAGAGATCCCTGGGGGGGTCGCAGGGCAGGACCCCATGCAGGGCCCCCCTCCAAGGGCCGGGACCCCCAACCCCGGGGCTGGGGGGATTCCCTGTCCCCCCTCTCCCCGCCCCTGCCCAGCACTCACGTGTCGCCGTCCTCGGTGACGAAGCTCAGGACGTGCCGCAGCCAGGCCGAGGGGTCCGCGGGGGGCTCGGGGGGCTCCGGGCCGGGGCTGTCGGGCAGCGGCTGCCCCAGCGGTCCCTCGCCCAGCGAGCCCAGCCCGCTGTCGCACCACTCATCGCCCTCGGGCCGCTTAGCCTCGCCGGGGGCCGGCGGGGCCGCGGGGGCCGCGGCCGCCATCGCCGGGGCCGCCTCAGGCCGCCATCACCGGGGCCGCCTCGGGCCGGGGCCGCCTCAGGCCGCCGCCGCCATCGCGGGCCGGGGAATCCCCGCCGGGACCCGCTTCCGGGGCCGCGCGGGGCACGCCGGGAAACGGGGGCGCGCTCAGCCAATCAGCGCCGCCAGCCCGGGCACGCGCAGCTCTGTCCTCGAAAGCCCCGCCCTGCGCCGCGCGCGCTGCACGCCGGGAGGTGTGGCGGAGAAACCGCGCGGTGCATGCCGGGAGATATGGCGGAGCGGCCGCGCGGTGCACGCCGGGAAGTGTGGCGGAGCGGCCGCGCGGTGCATGCCGGGAAGTGTGGCGGGCCGGCCGCGCGGTGCATGCCGGGAAATATGGCGGTGCGGCCGCGCGGTGCATGCCGGGAAATATGGCGGAGCGACCGCGCGGTGCACGCCGGGAAATATGGCGGAGCTGCCGCGCGGTGCATGCCGGGAGGTGTGGCGGAGCGGCCGCGCGGTGCACGCCGGGAAGTGTGGCGGAGCGGCCGCGCGGTGCACGCCGGGAAGTGTGGCGGAGCGGCCGCGCGGTGCACGCCGGGAGGTGTGGCGGGGCGGCCGCGCGGTGCACGCCGGGACGGCGCATGGCGGACCCGGACGGTACCGGGGGCGGCGGGGCTGGGACGGGACCCCCTTCACCCCCCACTGACCCCCGCTGACACCCCCCTATTGCCCCCGCAGGTCCCGGTGCCTGCGGGGAAGAGGCAGAGCAGGACGAGGAGTCCCCGGTGAGCGGCCGGAGCTCCCCCCCAGTGACCTTTGGCGACCCTTTGGGGACCCCCTCGGTGTCCCTTTGGGTACCCCCCCCGTGACCCTCCCGTTCCCCCGCAGGTCTCCGACCCTGAGCTGGGCGCTTCGGCCGACGCTGACAGTGGGTCTGGGGGTTCCCGGGGGGGTGGTCCGGGGGCTCATCCTTATGGGGCTTTTGGGGACTCTTTGGGGATACTTCTGAAGATCTTGGGGACACTGCGGGGCCCTGGGGGACATTATGGAGCTTTTGGGGGCTCTTTGGATCAAGGGTTGGACTTGATGATCTCAGAAGTCTTTTGCAATTTGGTTGGGTTTATGATTCTGTTCTGTGATTCTATGATTCATGGGGCTTTTGAGAGCTTTAAGAGACCTTTGGAAACAGTCGTGGGGTCCTTGGGGACCCTAACCTATAGGGTTTTTGGGAACCCTTTGGAGGCGTTTATGGGGCTTTTGGGGACCCTTTGGGGGCAGTTTTGGGGCCTTTGGGGACCCTTTGGGGACATTTATGGGGCCCTTGGGGATCCTGTGGTGGATTTGGGACACTGAGTGGTGCTGGGCATCCAGAGTGGGACCTTTGGGGACACTTGAAGGGGCCTTTGTGGACCCCCTGGTGTCCCCCCGGCAGTGGAGCTGCTCCGGACCCTCCTGTCCCGGACCCTCGGGCTCGGGGGGGACAAACCCGAGCGGGTGCTGGACGAGCTGTCCCTGGACGGAGTGAGCCGGTTCCTGCGGAGCGAGCGGTGTACGGGACACCGGGAGGGGGGGGCACTGGGAACGGGGGGCACTGGGAACGGGGGGCACTGGGAACGGGGACGCTGGGAACGGGGGGCACTGGGAACGGGGGACACTGGGAACGGGGGGCACTGGGAACGGGGGGCACTGGGAACGGGGACGCTGGGAATCGATGGGGGCACTGGGAGGGAAGTGGGGGAGGAGCTGGGTGGACACACACTGGGAAACCAGGGGGGAACCAGCCTTGGGGGCGGTTTTGAGGGGTTATTGGGGGGTAGATTTGGGGGCTGACAATGGGGGAAGGAGGGGGCAGTTTTGAGGGGTTATTAGGGGTGGATTTGGGGGCTGACAATGGGGGAAGGAGGGGGCAGTTTTGAGGGGTTATTAGGGGTGGATTTGGGGGCTGACAATGGGGGAGGGAGGGGGCAGTTTTGAGGGGTTATTAGGGGTGGATTTGGGGGCTGACAGTGGGGTGAAGGAGGGGGCAGTTTTGGGATGCCCCCTCACCCCCCATATCTCGTTCCCCCAGGTAAGAACATTGTCTGCATGGTGGGCGCCGGGATCTCCACCTGTGAGTGTGGTTTGGGGGGCTGGGGGGCACTGGGGGATGAGTGGGACATGGGGGGGGTCCTGACCCCCCCGTGCTCCACCCCCAGCCGCCGGGATCCCCGATTTCCGCTCCCCCGGCACGGGGCTCTACGCCAACCTGCAGAGCTACGACCTGCCCTATCCCGAGGCCATCTTTGAGATCAGTTTCTTCAAAGTACGCCCCCTCCCCAATTTCAGGGGGGCTCCGACCCTTCTGGGGTGCTGAGACATCCCTCCACGCCCCCTGAGACCCCCTTTCCCCCCACAGCAAAACCCCGAGCCCTTCTTCGCCCTCGCACGTGAGCTCTACCCAGGGCAGTTCAAGGTGAGTCCACCCCCCCAACCCTCATTCCTGCCCCCCCCCAAACTCCTGGGGGGGGCTACCCCTCAAAAACACCTCGGGGGGAGTTCAAGTGACCCCCAGATCTCGCCCCCCAGCCCACGGTGTGTCACTACTTCATGCGGCTGCTGCAGGACAAGGGGCTGCTGCTGCGCTGCTACACCCAGGTGGGACCCCCACTTGAAGGGGGGAGGGGGCTGGGCAAGGTTTGGGAGACCAGGGGGGTTTTGGGGTCCCCCTGACCCCCTGCCCCCCTCAGAACATCGACACCCTGGAGAGGGTGGCAGGGCTGGACCCGGAGCGGCTGGTGGAGGCTCACGGCACCTTCTTCACCTCCCACTGCCTGCGCCCCTCGTGCCGCCAGCCCTACAGCCTGAGCTGGATGAAGGGTATGGGGGGGCTCTGGGGACCCCCTGGAACCCCCCCAAACACTCAGGACCCCCAGGGCACCCCCAGAGACCCTCGTTTGGGCACTGGGATGGGGTCAGGGGGGTCCCGTCCCCTGCACTTACGGGGTCCTAACAGGAGGCTGTTCTCCCCCAGTGCCCTCCCCATGCCCCCCAGTCTCTCTGGCCCCCCCCCCAATTCCCTGTGTGTCCCCCCTACATCCCTCCCACTGAGTTTCCCACTCCCCCTCCTTTCCAGAGCGGATTTTCTCCTCTCTCGTTCCCAAATGTGAGAAGTGCCAGGGCCTGGTGAAACCCGGTGAGCTTGGGGGGTCTGGAGGAGCTTAGGGGGGATTGAGGGGACACCTAAGCCCCCTCCAGCCCCTCCACTCACCTCTGACCCCCCCAGACATTGTGTTTTTCGGGGAGAGCCTCCCCTCACGCTTCTTCACCCTCCTGCAGTCGGTGAGTGGGGTGGGGGGGCCCTGAACCCACCCTGAATTCAGGGGAGGGGGCAGAGGGGACCCCACAGTGACATCCCCTTGTCCCCCCAGGACTTCCAGAAAGTTGACCTGCTCATCATCATGGGCACCTCGCTGCAGGTGCAGCCCTTCGCCTCACTCGTCAGCAGGTGGGACCGCCCCAGCACCCCCGGGACCACCCCCCAATTCCTGTGACCCCCTCGTGACTGTCCCCTCCCGTCACCCCCCAGGGTCCCCGTCAGCACCCCCAGACTCCTGATCAACAAGGAGAAGACGGGACAGGTGAGGGGCAGGGGACGGGGGGGGCGTGTGGGGCAATGTGGGGTTCAGGGGTGCTGGGGAGGGGGAAGAAGCACCTGCCCCCCCCTTGTCACCCCTTTTGCTCCCCCCAGAGTGACCCCCTGATGTCCCTGATGGGCTTTGGCTGCGGGATGGACTTCGATTCGGAGAAGGCCTACAGGTAAGGGGGGTGGAGGGTTCGGGGGGCATCCTGGACCTCCCCAAACAGTTTTAGGGACTCCCCCGCTGGTTTTAGGATCCTCCAAGGTGGCTTTGGGATCCCCCAAGGTAGATTTGAGGTGTTCCTTTCCCCCACTGAGGTTTGAGACACCCCAAGGTGTTTTTGGGGTACCTCATGGTTGTTTCCTCAGGAACTTTTGGCCCCCTCCAGAATGGTTTTGGTAACCCTTCCAGATGGATCTGGGGTCTCTTGAGATGATTTGAGGACCCCCCCCACGAATTTGGGGACCCCTAAGGTGGCTTTGAAGATGCTCAAGGTGGTTTTGGAACCACAAGGTGCTTTTGGTCCCCCTCCAGTGTGGCTTTGGGGACCCTCTCAGGTGTTTTGGGGCCCCCTGCCAGGTGGTTCTGGAGCCTCCAGGGTGGTTTTAGGGAGCCCCCCCCGTGCTTCTAGGTCCCCAAAGCAATTTGACACCCCCCTGAAAGTGTTTTAGGACCCTCCTGTGGTGTTTTAGGCCCCCCCAGGCTGGTTTTGGGGTTTCCAAAGTGGTTTTGGAAACCCCAAAGCAGTTTGGGGCCTCCTCCCCAAAGTGATATCAGGCCCCCCAGGTGTTTTAGGGACCTCCCCAACTGATTTTGGGGTCTCTCTGCTCTCTTTCAGGGATGTGGCCTGGCTGGGGGACTGTGACAGCGGGTGCCTGGCTCTGGCCGAGCTGCTGGGCTGGAAGGTATCACCCCGACCCCCAAATCTGGGGGGTTCTCCTGAGCCCTGCACCCCCAAACCCTGCTGGGACCCCCCCAAACCAAAGCACTGTCCCCTGGCAGGAGGAGCTGGAGGAGCTGGTGAGGAGGGAACACGCCGCCATCGACGCCGGGGGGGGCGA